AGTGCTTAACAGTCCTTTCCATGAAGAAATTCTTCTTGATGTCCAATCTGAACATCCCTTAGTTGCCTCGAAGAAGAAGAAGCCACCCCCCATCTTGCTATACCCTCCTTTCACGTAGCTGTAGAGCGTGATAAGGTCTTCCCCGAGCCTCCTTTTATCCAGGCTAAACAACCCCAGCTCCCTCAGCTGCTACTCATATGACTTATTCTCTAGACCCTTCAGAAAGTGAGCTGTTATTAAAAATTTGAAATTAATTTATGAATATATATATAGGTAGACAATATAACTTCATAGTTCTGGATGCTACCACCTTTCGCATACACTTGATTGAATGTTTCTACTTCCAGACTTCTTAAAGTAAAACTAAAATGTTATCCTGCTGCTGTGTTTTCTCTCTGTCAATGGAAATAAAACATATCTGAATATAGAAGATAGAAGAGTTCAAAAAGCAAGGAGAAGTGCTTTAAAAGGTCAAAATGCCAGTGAAAGACAGATTTTGAGAAGAATAAATAAAAGGACAAAAATATGCCTGCAGTCTGCTTGATGGTATCTTTCCATTTTGCAAAACATATCTACTCAGTTCTCTTCTTCTTTTGAGATGATCCAGTTTGTTTGGTATTTATTTTTCTGGAGAGACTGGGAACACTAATATTCTTAAATCTCCTTATTATGAATCCACACTGATTTGCTTCTCAGGCCTCTGTTTCAATGAATATAACTTGAAATCATCACTTGCATTGTACTACTGTGAGCCCTATTGGATATCAGCTAAAAATAACAGCAAATTTAATGGGTATTTGCTTTGAAATACTAATGTGTTATGGTGTGGTTTTATGTGATAGCTCTGTATCTAACACAGCTGTTATTTGAGTATCAGCATTTTCTTTACATCGTTCTGGAGGTGTAATAGCAAGATCTTATAGCATATTCAAGCATGTGTACATACCTGAAATACTTTGAAAACATTTAATATTAAAAAATATTTGAGGTGCTAAAATAAAAGCTAAATGTATATCTCTCACTTCACTGTAGAAATTTTCATACATCTTGACTAAGGTTACTTTCATCCTCCTCCAGGTTAAAATTTCTAGGTGTTAATCACCTTACATACCTTAATATGCATACCTAATAACAACTTTACCTTAAATGGATAAATTTTTTGGAGATTAATGTCTCCAATAGCTCAATAACTTCTGAGTGTAAGCCTCTGTTTCTGCAAAAAAAGGATTAAATCCTATTCATCACTATGATAAATAGCTCATAAATAGTAGTAGCTTGAAAAGAAAACCCCCTGATTACACATTTTCCCACTCTTTTGTGGATGACTGCTCATTCTGTTTCAGGGCAAGACGTGATTATTCTGACCAAAAATTTGCAGGTTTTGAATCTATGCTGACAAGCTTTTCCAAGCTTCATTAAAGTGTAGCCAAAAGCTTATTAAAACACATAAATAAAGACAGTTAACTTAAGTGTGGTTTCAGGCAAGGTTCAAACTGGATTTCAATTGTGATGCCATGAAAGCAGCCCAAATGGGAGTTACCTATACTTCATATCAGAAATGTAAATGTGCTTCACAGTATTCTATGAAATAGCTATATTATTTACCATATTTAATGCATCTTAAGGTCACAGAAAAATATAGCAGCAATAAAAAGTCATAAAATGATGAGATATAGTGCACTCTATATTGTGCAGTATATTGTTCAGAATGATTCCAAGAGGCGAGCAATAAGTCATGTGGAGGAATAGGCTAAACGATCCAGAAAAATTAAGTTAGTGGTGCCCATCAGCTCAAGTACTTCATTCTTAGAAACAAATGTTAAATCTTTCCAGAAGTCAATCTAAACCAAACTTTTCAGAATAAATACTAAGTGAAATTACCAATTTTTATTCCCTATACTCTGAGGCGTAACCTTGAATTGGCACTATGATACAAGTGGTATGTCATACTCTGAGAAGACAAACTTGAGGGTTTTTTTGATGTGTTTCCTATTCAGATAGATGTCCTTTTGCATTTAATATTCAGAAAATGGTTACTGAAAGTACAGATGTCACAATGCACTAGGCTGCACTAGGCTGCATTCATGTTTGTTCAGTAGCCTTTAAATTGCATCACTTCTGAAAGAAAGACGTTTACCTGTATCATAAATTTTAAAACATACAACTTTTTTATAGGGAATTAAAAAAAAAAAATTAAAGAACCAGGGCCTAATAAGTAAAAATGCAAATCTATCTTGCCTTTTGCAATGCATTCAGAAGGAAAAACGATCCCCAAATTTTGGCAATTATCCCTAGCATGTTTAATTTTTTCTATCCACCCTCATTTGTTTAACAAACAGCATATACACTGTTCCTTGCCACTGGGTTGCTCTGTGCAGTGACTGAGACGAGGTCAGGTTGCAGTCAGACTGGAGACTTCCTAGGGATCAGGAGTGGGGGGGTTCCCCAAGGCAGCAACACAAAGCCTTAACTTCCAGGGCCCATCCTACTGTCATACTACAGAGAACAAGACTCTCCTAGCATAAGCATTCCAACGTGGAATATATATGCCTATAATGAGAATTCAGTGTAGCAGACTTTTTGTTAATATTTTAGAGCAATAACAATGAATTTATTAACCTATTAAATTGTGCTTGATATTATTTGCTGTTTATGGCAGAATAGTTTGTTGTTATGACTATGAGTATTACTTTTATTAACTGTAGTTAGAGGAATTATTTTTAAAATTAATATTTAACAAACTATAAGCACAAAGAAATGTTGATAGTTTACAGTTAATAGCTTATGTAGTTAATAGTTTATACAGTTAATAGTCATTAGTTAATAGTTTATAATTAGCAACATGGACAGTGGGACCAAGTGTACCCTCAGCAAATTTTCTGACATCAAGATATGTGGTGCAGTTGACACACTGCAGAGAAAGAATGTCATCCAGAGAGACATTGACAGGCTTGAGAGGTGGGCCTGTGCAAACATCATGAAGTTCAACAAGGTCAAATGAAAGTTCCTGCACCTGGATTGGGGCAATCCCCAGCACAAGTAAAGGCTGGGCCAAGAACGGATTGAGAGCAGTCCTGAGGAGAAGGACTTGGGGATGCTGGTGAATGAAAGGCTTGACATGACCCAGCAATGTGCAGTTGCAGCCCAGAAAGGCTGCATCAAGTGTGGTCGGCGGGTTAAAGGAGATGATACTCCTCCTCTACTCTGCTCTTACAAGACCCCACTTGTAGTACTCCATCCTGCTCTGGGGTCCCCAACACAATGAGGACAAGGACCTGCTGGATTGAGTCCAGAGGAGAGCCACAAAGATGATCAGAGTACTGGACCACCTCTCCTACACAGACAGGCTGAGAGAGTTGGGGTTCAGCCTGGAGAAGAGAAGACGCTGGGGAGACCTTCTAGCAGCCTTCCAGTACATAAAGGGTACCTAACAGAAAGATGGAGAGGGACACTTTACAAGGGTGTGTAGGGAGAGGGCAAGGGAGAATGGCTTTAAACTCACAGAATGTAGCTTTCTGTTAGATATTCTTTGTGATGAGGCACAGGTGCAGGTTGCCCAAAGAAGTTGTAGATGCCCCATCTCTGGAAGTGTTGAATGTCAGGTTGGGTGGGGCTTTGAGCAACCTAGTCTAGTGGAAGGTGTCCCTGCCCATGGCAGGGAAGTTTGGAAGTAGATGACCTTTAATCAACCCAGACCATTCTATGATGCTATGATCTTACGATCTTATGATCTTCATTCATTCACTAACACTTATTCTGTTAGTTTTTGGTAATTTGAAAACTAGTCAATTTAGGGAATTTTTAACTTTGGTGTGAGATGACTTTCCTATTTTTGTACCTAAAAATTTGTTTTCTGGGAGGAGGAGGAAGGGGATGTATAATACTTCTATTATATATTATATATGTAGCAAACACAGGTAAAGATTGAGGATTGCTTAAGCATCCTCACTGAAGAAAACAGAAAACTTGTTTTGATGAAGTGCGCAATAGACATTTGCTAGTTGCTGAGACCTTAAGGTAATTTGATTTAGATGACTGACTTTTAAAGAGAGCATTAGGCAGAATCTCTGTTTTAATAGCTATTTAATTAATTTTTAATTCCTGATGAGAGGAAACGTACTCATATTCCTACATGTAGTTACAGTTAGTGAATGTACATTCTCATTGACATCTTGTAGAAACAAGACCACTAATGTTGTGTTTGAGTTGATGCAAAATAATATTTTCTTTTTTGGTTCCATGTTCATCACATTGTGTGACCCAGTTTCATAGAATACACTATTACTACCTAAGTGTAGCAGAATTCTTGAAATGGAATAGGTGTGTTGCACCCTATGCATGAGTTATCAGAGAAAAAAAAAGTTGCACAATGTGAAGCACAAGTAAATATGGGAGTGGCCAAAAGTAAAAGCTCTGATTATGCTCTTCATCTTTCCCTTTGACACAGTCCTCCCAGAATTGGATACAAAGTGTGTGAAGTCATAGTCACAGTATTTTCTTTCATCCCATTAAATTTTTGAATTTTACCCCCTCCTCCTTTTTTAGCACAAGTTCCTACTCTAAAAAAGTTGCTGAAGATTTCTCATCATAATTGTTCTTCAAGAAATATTAAAGCTTTCGAGACAAGATAGTCTCATTGCAAACCACAAATCTGGAAACTTCTGTCAGCTTTCCTTACAAGACTGGTATCCTTTTTCTTCTCCTGTTCCAATATTTGTTCTGATGGAGATGTCATCCTTCATCTACTTCTCCAGTTATTTGGGTATTTTTCATTGTTCCATTGCATGTTATTATACATGATATTACTTCCAAACCAAATCACTATATTTTTATTTCTCTAAAATCCACCCTCCACTCTCCATAACTGCTTATGCCATATTCAAATATCAGAAGACAAGACAATTAAGACATCTGAAATTCACCTTGAATTTATTATTTATGTAAATACCAAAATAAGAATTCAGAATTATCAGTAGTGAACACTGATAGCATACACAAATAGATAACACTCCTATTATCTTCATTTTCTCTTCTATTCTCAGTATTATTCTGCCTTGGATCTGTGAGGCTGCACTTTGGGAAAGGTACACAACTGTACTCAAAAACACAAGCGTTAAATTGAAATTGTAGGAGCTACTTCAAATCAGACAGTAAAGAAGAGTATTTCATGTCTAAGTAAAGTCAACAAACACCAATTTCTTAAACTTTGTTAAATTAAATATAGTTCTGCAATAAATTTAATGACACTTGATTTCATCTTATTTTCAGGTACATTTCAGAATTGAGTTTCCAGCTCAAAACAAAAACCAGTGGATGTCCTGTGACATTATGCAGTTTATCAATGACAGAACTAAATGTCAAGTTACTGAAAATAGCCATCATAGTACTCCCTTTACAGCAAGCCTTTGCTTTGAATGTCATCTAACATTCTTAGCAATAACATCCTGTATATGTTTTGATATAAGATAGCAGAGCTCAGTTGTGCTGAATGACCTTTTGAAAACAATGCTGATTATTCATGGTTCTTTTTGCTCTTAAAATTATTGGTAATATTGGTATTGCTATCTCTGAACCTTCAATATTGCACTGACAAGTGTTCAAAGGTGTACTGAAAATATTTTTCCTGAACTATAGGGCACCTCAAAATGATAGCAGATTATGTAGGTAAACTCAGAAAGAATAAAGAGAAGGGCAGAAAATCATCTTCCTTTTTTCACTTACCTGCTAGGACCAGATTTTGCATTCCTCTTTTTCATGAATCAGCTACTCTTGCATTCAATTGGCAGATAATTTTCAAAGGGTAAAAAAAATTCAAACGCTAAAAAAAAGTCAAAGAAGAGAGTAATAATATCCATTATCTGAGAGAACTGAATATTTTGGGAAAGTAAAGCAAGTATTTCCATAGGCCACTCCCAGTGCATGCAAGTCTGTATTCGGGAGAAAATTGGCCACTATAACTGAAAAAATGATTCTTGATGTCCATTTACATGGCAGCATTTGTCAAAGATGCCATTTTCTTGATGATGCAATGATTCTGAAATAAAATATTTGCTTGTTTCTTGTTATTTTTCTTCCTATGCATGACATTTTTCTGTTCTTCCTTTTCTTTTAGTAGGAAGAGTTATGTGATTCATTATACAGACGGTAGGGTGATTAGTGAATTAGGTATGTTTAGGATAGGAATGATTCTACTCATTCTCATTTGCATAAAAGTCTTATCCCAAATACAGACATTTTCTTGAGTGATCAACATCAGAGAAATTTTCTCTTTAAATATGATTATATGCACAAGGAAGAAAAACTTACTATGTAATGAGCATGACTACTACTTGTTAAGGGGGTACATAAGATAGCATCTAGTAGATACTTCTTGACATGGTCACTACACAAAGCAGCAATAAATTCATTCAAAATATCTATTCAGACCTTTGGGGCGTTAACTTGTGTATAGGTTAATGTGTGAAAATCCTCATAATAAAACCTCTGAAACTAATCATTTCAGCTGAGCCAGTATTTCATTTTGAGTCTGTCTAAATGAAGAAAGTGATATATAAAGTAAGAAATATGTTTGAAAATGTATGACAATTCAAGTAAATTCTGTGGCCTAATCTCTAATTTCATTGTTATATATTGGGTGATGAGTATCTCTTTGATTAAATCCTCTTTAAGACTCAAGACTACATTTAAATTGCCATTAGAAACTACTCCTTTTCTATGAATGTGTAATAAAATTCAAATTTTTAAACCTTGATCGAGAAGTTTCCTAAAGCACTATCTGTTGAAAGGGACAATTCACGTATATTAATTTAGGAGCAATGTTTACTGTGTATTGAGAAATACACAGAAAATAAATCCAAATTAGATATGTTGCCTTAAGCAAGCAATGTTGCTCCTCTGCAAACCACAATGCTTTAATGTTCTAGCTAAAGGAAGAAAATATGCTACAAACCAAATTTAGGCTTTTATGGTAGGTAACAGCACAGCTCCCAGAGGCAGCCAAGAGATGCAGTGGTTTGCACAGAAGTTTCTGGGCTCTGCTTCTTTCAGATTTTCTTGAGATCTTGTCAAGATTTCTGGGCACTTTGCCTGGGATACGGGAACTCCTGGGAACCCTCTGAAGGTTCTGCTGCTAAGAGGTAAGGCTAAGAACAAAGGGGAGCCCTAGCAGCTCCTAAGGAACTCTGTCAGCTGTCATTGATCAAGGCTTTGTTCCAGCTAACCTTGGACTGTAGAGGATCAAGCTCTCTAATCCTGTTAAGTGCCAGGCAGTTTACGCATCAGGGTGATGTCAGAGTTTAACTCCAGCTAGCAGCTAAGCACCACACAGGCACTTACTCACTCAGCCCTGGTGGGATGGGGGAAACAATTAGAAGGATAAAAGTGAGAAAGCTCAGGGGTTGAGATAAAGACAGTTCAATAGGTAAAACAAAAGCCAAGTGCACACAAGTAAAATAAAATAAGGAATTAATTCACCGCTTCCTTTTGGCAGGCAGGTGTTAGCCATCCTCAGAAAGGCAGGGCTCCATCACTCGTAATGGTTACTTGGTAAGACAAACATCATAACCCTGATCATCCCACCCCCCCGCCTCCTTCTTCTTCCCCCAGCTATGATGTCATATTGTGTGGGATATCTCTTTGGCTAGTTGGTGTCTGTTGTCCCAGTAGTGTCCCCTCTTAACTTCTTGAGGTCCCCCAACCTTCTCTCTGGTGGGGTGAGGAGTTGAAAAAGCCCTGATTCTGTGTGAGCACTGGTTAGCAATAATGAAAATATCCCTGTCTTAGCAATGCTGTTTTTAGCACAAATGAGAACATGGCCCCATGCTATTTGCTATAAAGAAAATTAATTCTACCCCAGCAGACTAGCAAGCTTTTCCTGTACTTATATATGTTCTTAGGTATGGTGATCACATGATCACACACCACAGTTTTTTCCTCCAATTCTGCAAGAATGACTGTCCATTTACTAATGCATTCTTAGAACCACCATGCATTCTTGCAAGGAGGCTGCAACTTTGCATGTTTCTGGCTGAGGGGATTGCCCAAGACCTCTTGCTGACTCTTGGTCACACAGTCTTTTAGCGTGCAGGAGATGCCAGTTGTTGAGAAGCTGTGCTGCCAAGTGCTCTGTGTGGAGGTCAGCAGACTGTGCAGTATGAGAAATTATAAGAAAGAGATCAACCAGATCTCCTCTGAGCTCTTCAGTTTCAGGACTCCGAATTTCTAACTGCAGGGGTAGAAAGATCCTGTGCCTGTGAAATCAGAAATGAAGACTCTCATTGCAAAGAAAGCCAGAAGCTGATAATTTCTCCTACCAGAAGAGAAGGTCCTGCCCTATCTCCCAATTTGTAGTTACAGAAGAGGTTAACTGCCCTTGTAGCAGATGAGAGTCCTGGAGCGCTGTCAAATGGAGCACCTCAGATGGCTGAATCTGAGTCACACACATGACCACTAGAAGGAAGTAGTGAGTGACAATTGTAGGAGACTCCCTACTGTAGGGCACAGAGACGCTCATCTGCTTATTTGACTTGTCCCCTTGGGAGGTTTATTTATTTGTTTCTTCATGGGGGTTTGCATTTGAGATGTTGTGGAGAGACTACAGAGGCTTTTCTGCCCTTTTGACTGCTACCTCATTGCTTTTCTGTTGTAAGCACTATTGATACTACTGGGGTGACCTGGGGCGTAGGAAGTCTTACCTGTAGGATTCTGGGTGCAGTGCTCTAGAAAAAGCAGAAAGTTCTGAGGAAGACTCAGTGGATCCAATGTGTTGTATAGCTTGTGGTGTCAAGAGGGTTTTGGTGTCTATGACCATGGGACCCTTAAGAACAAAAACAGAACAAAACAAAAAAAACCAACAAACTAGATGGCCAAACTTCTATCTGAAGCTGTGCTCAGAGAAAATCTATCAAAATTAATGAGAGTTCTTAAGATATCTTTAGAGAGGGGGGAGAGTTAGGTTTAGATTTGTTCATTTATCACATTTAGTTTAGGGAGAAAGAGGTATTCTGTGATTAAGATACAGGGTTGGGTGTTAAGCAATCTAAGGTAAATGTTTTACTGTAGATTTCCCATGTAATCTGTTGCAAATCATTTGAATGTTCTGGGCCTTCTCCTCCTCAGGAATGCAGGTTTTGCACTGGTGTATTTCTAGTGATACTGTTGCAGGGAATTGAGGTCCAAGAGTTTTCATTTTTCAACTATGAAATAATTGAGAAAGTGATGTTTCTTATCTGCTTATCTTTGGCTTATGGATCTTCATTAATTCATATCTATGTATTCTTCTCTGGCAAAAAGTTGTAAATGTAGCACTACAGTGCTGATATATTGATTAACTGAATACAAGAGGCAACATAGTTCCAGGAAGAAGGCAAGTGCACAGGCTTATAGGAAATACAGTCTTCATTGTCAACTTACACTAGTGCGCTGTGTAACCCTGGCAATCATTTTGCTATTCTGTACCTCTTCTTTTGTGACTCCATCTCTTTTTTTCAGAGAACAGACTTTTTTGCACAGCTATTGTATCTTAGAATTTCTTTCCTTAGTAAAATCATACTTTTCTTTATTATGGTTTCTGGGTGCCTCCTTAACACAAACAACACAGAAGAAAAACATTTTAGTTAGTTTCTCTTCAAATCTAGGGGTTTAAGTGCAAAGAGGCATGCACTGTAACAATAAAATTAAAATAGGTTAATACTTATCCCCTCTGTTAAAACAATTTTCCTTCTTCCTACTTGTATTTTTTTTTAAAAAAGTAGTCAAAAACATTTAAAATGTGAAGCTTTGAGTTCCAAGAACAATATATATAAATTTTAAAACGTATTCATAAGAAATTCAAGCAAAAATATTAGAAAGCTGTATTTAGACTGTAGTATTCAATGGAAAAAAAAACTCAGATTAAAAAAAACAATCCTTTGGATAAAGTATTGTGATGGTTTTGAGTCTAGGCCTTCCTTCCTGG